GCCGGGCACACACACCCTGGGCTCAATGGGAAAGGCACCCATGTCCCTGGGCAGAGAGGGTGAGGGCCAAGGATGGGCACTGAAGGTGGGCAGGGACAGGGTCTGGCTGCAGCCATGACTATGACCATCTGCAGGGCAGGGCGCCAGGAGAAGCTCCCCCAGGGCAAGCCTGCCAGCGGCCAGGTGGGAGAGTACCCAGCACCCGCCCAGCCCTCCACGGCCCTCCGCAGTGGGCTCCCAGGGAACACTGCAGAGAAGCCAGGCCCTCCTCGCCGTTCCTCCTGCCCAGAGCCAGGAGATGGACAGGAGGGCGGCTCAGCTCAGGCACAGGCCAGAGAGGCGGTGAAGACAGTGGTCGGGTGGCTCAGGAGTGCGGGGCTGTGGCGGGCCTGCACATCTTCAGGGAGCCGTTTCCAGGATCGATCGTGTGGCCTGGCACCCCGGCTGAGGGGTGTCCCCAGGAGCCACGACCACGATCCCTGAGGTAAGGTCTCGCAAGCACCGCCTCGGTCTCCGCTTCTGCTCCTGGGAGACAGAGCCCAGCGCGCCCAAAACCTGCCATCCTTGGGCTCAAGAGGCCCATGGTGGCCTCGGACAGTGCCAGGAGCTGTTGCCAAGGGCCCCGGCGTCGCTCGGCAGCGAGAGTCCACAGGAAAAGCACTCTCCACCCACAGAACCTGTGCGACAGAGTTGGAGCTACTGTGCTTGTCATGGGGAAGTCATCTCCAGTCCCAGCCAGGAAGGATGCGGTGCGCGTGTCTCCAGGGAGACAAGATGCAAATGGCCTCCTTTAGCCTCAGTAGGAGCTCCTTCCCTGACCCCCCCCCCCACTCTGGCTGCACCTTCAGGCTGGCTCCTGCCACCACCTGAGCCGCCAGAGCGCAGCGTGGGACTGCCTGCCATCGTCACTGATGATGAAAAAGGGGCTCAGCCTGCACCTCCACAACGTGGTCCGCACCTCTCCGCTCCCTGCCCCCACCCACGGAGGCCACAGTTGCTGGTGGGGGAAGGTGGGAGGGGAGGAGGAGGGAGGGCCCAGCACCTGTGTGCAGAGAGGGGTCGCCCCGCCAGAGGCAGGGCAGCTGCCCCCCACCCCCGTGCCCGGAGGAAGGAGAGGGGGTGGAGGCAAGACTGAGCCCCTGGGTGGGGACGTTGGACTGGGGAGCATCCTGTGGCCCAGGCCTGGGTGGGACTCACGTGGTGCTGATTGCTGCTGCCGGTCCTGACGGGGCCGCCTTGAGGAGAAAGTGCTTCCTGCCTCTGCGCCCGGGACTGCACAGCTACCTGGCACTGCTGCCAGGGAGGGCTGCCAACTCCTCTGCCAAGGGCAGAGAGCACACACACGCCTCTGCGGGCCACCCAGGGGGCTCTGTCACACATCCTCCTTCCTTTCTCTGGCTTTTTGTGTGTTTTGTTTGCAACCTTTAAGGACAGAGGAGGCACACTCTATCCTTACAAACACAGGCTCTGCCTGTCTCGGGCCTGGGGCTGGAACGTGCCACCCCTGCCTGCTTAGACAAAGGACACGTTTCTGAGGGGCCTGTGCGGGACCAGGAGTCCCACATCCAGGCTCGCGAGCAAGGACACTCCTCGGAGCCTTCCATTCGCTGTGAGCAGGGACACCCATGCCCTAGCGGGTGTTGTCCCCTCTAGCACTGTTGGAGGGTTGGCCTGTGTGACCCATGAGAATACAGCAGAGGTGAGGGAGTGTCACTTAGCAGTGAAGTTATAAAAAGCAGCGGCTTCACTCTTGGGGCCCCTTTCTCCTCTCCATCTGTCTCCCCCCTCTCTCCCACCTCTCCCTACCCCACAGCCATCCTGGCTCTGGGGGAAACCCTGTCCCGAGCAGCCCCATGGAGAGGCCTCCCTGGGGAGGCACGGAGGCCCCTGCCAGCCACACGAGCAGTCTTGGAAGCAGAGCCTCCCCCCAGGCAGGCCAGATGGCTGTGGCCCCAGCTGAGGCCTCAACTGCAGCCTGTGAGGGACCCGGAGCCAGAGCCCTGCAGCGAACCCCTCCGGGATCCTGTCCTTCAGACGCCGGGGAGCTCACAAGCGTTAGCTTTGCCAAGGTGCCACGTGTGGGGTAATTTGGTGTGCAGCACTGGGTAACTGATAACACGGTTTTACATGGACACAGCCACTCTGAGTAAGTCTGAGGCCACAAACCGACAAGAAACCCCAGAAGCCATTAGGAAAAGCCTGGGAAGGCTGATGACACAAAAGCCCCAGGACCCAACAGGAAAAGGGGGTCGAGGAGGCGGGAGGGGGACATGGGAAATGAAAGCCAAAGGCTGCTCCACCAAAGTGCCGTCCCCACTTCCAGAAGCACGGACAGACATCTCCGGTGGACACCATGCCCCCGGGCAGTGGCCCCGGCTCTGCCCACCTCTCCCTGGAACGAGCTCAGGTGCCCGGCTCCCAGAGCTGCTCGTTTGGGGGACAAATGGCGGCCAGTGGCTGGCACTGCCTTTCACTGGCCGCTCCAACCAGAGGACAGGCCACTGTGGAGCTGAACAAAGACCAGGCACGGAAAAGACTGGCCAGAGCGGGGAGGTAGTGGTGCCGGGCATTGGGCAGGTCTGGGCACCATCACCCAGGAGCTGGGAGGCCCCTTGGTGAGGAACATTTGTCAGGAAAGGCAGCAGCTTCCCACCAGCTAGAGGGTTGGCCACACTGAGAGACCAGACAACTGTCGGGGCAGTTCCGCGGCAGACGACCCCCTTTCTGGTCTCCATGCTCACCCAAATCCATGTTCTCAGGTCTCAGGACCCCTGTTCCTCTGACAGCCCCCGGCTCTGTGTTTAGGTCTTTTCTCTGCCTCGTCAGGGAGTTCTTTCCATCCCCGCTCCCAGGCACCTATCTAACCTCCGCCCCTCTCCCTTACACGTCCAGATGTTATCAGCCCCAGTTGGGGAACTGCCCAGCATCTGCATAAACCCGACACCTTTTGCCGCCTGGGCCGCCGATGGCGCTCTTCTGTGCACACAGGCAGGGAAGGGTGACTGCTGTTCAATCGGAAGCCCCTGATCTCTCGAGGGCCAGCAAACCTTCTGGCATTTCCCAGGCCTGTGGGGACCCCTGCAAAGGAGCCGGCCCCGGGTAGGGCAAGGGGCACACACCTAGGAGTCTCGGGCCTCTAGAGCAGCGCTTCTCGTGGTGGGGTCCCCGCACCAGCAGCATCGGGCATCACCCGGGAGCTCGTTAGGATCGCAAAATCTCAGGCCCCACCTCAGACCTGCAACATCAGAGACTCTGGAGTGGGGCCCAGCAACCCGGGCTGGAACAAGCCCTCCAGGGGTCCCCATGCACCCTCCAGCGTAAGAATGGCCGGGATGGATGGCTGCTGATTGCACCCACTTCTAGAGAAGCCGTGAGCTTTCTCTGCGGGGCTCACCTTCACCTCCCCAGGCGAGAGGCAGGAAGGTACAGTTGACGGCCACAACCACAGGGCGGGCGTCCTGGAGAACAGGCGTGCTTGGCCAGGATTCCCTCCCAGCAGGGCCACCTCTGTCAAGAGGCATGGGGAAGACTTTGTTACCTTCCTGCCGTCCCCACTTCCAGAAGCATGGACAGACATCTCCGGTGGACACCATGCCCCCGGGCAGTGGCCCTGGCTCTGCCCACCTCTCCCTGGGTAACCGCACTTGTGTGGAGGTGGGGCTGGGGGGGTATCCATGCCCATGCTTTCCGCAGAACAGTCCCAGACACACTCAGGTGCGCTGGATCACGGCGGGCCAGACGTGGGAACACGCAGGAGGGCGGGGGGAGAGGGAGAGAGGGACAGAGACAGAGAGGCAGTGTGTGTGCAGGTAGGGGTGGGGTGCCACGTTCTGGGCCCTCGGAGGGTGGAAGCTACCAGAAGCGCGGAACAAGGCCGCTCCCAGAGCCCAGGTCTGCGCAGTCGGAGGTGGAGTGACCCTGCTCTTCGCCATCCCCGCCAGGTCGCCGCCTCCTTCCCCGGCTCATCAGGCCCTGGGGCCCCCGATATACTACTGTTCCTGGCCGCCTAGAGGGCCAGACTCCCTCATACAGTGGGCGGAGCGAGGGGAGTCCTGCCGGGAGCGGCGGGAGGGAAGCCTGACGGGGCCCCCAACGGCCTCCCGGGGCCTGGATTTGGTGGAGGCTTCTCCCCGGCCTCCGTTCACGGAGGGTCTCGCGGAGGCGGGACTCCGACGGCGCGCAGGACTCGGAGGGGCGGAAGGCAGAGTCCAGGGACCGGGGAGGGCGGTGACGAGGAGGCCGGGCCGTCTTCCGGGCGCGTCGGGCCCCGCCCGGACTGCCCCCACGCCCCTCTCTTCACGCCTCCTCAGCGCGCCCACCGGAAGCTCCGCCCCGCAGGCCGCGGAGTACCGCCTTCCTACCCACCCCTTCCGGCTATCTTAGCCAATGAGCAAGCTCTGTTCGTAACGAGGCCCGCCCTCAGGCCGCGGGACCCGGCGGCCGCTGCCTCTGCCCAATCAAAACAAGCCAGTCGCGTGCGAGCCCCTCCTTTCTCGGCTGTTGGGGCCTGTCGCGCCGGGCCTACTCCTTGCTGTCGGACGCTAGGCTTCTCCGCAGCGAGGGCGGAGATTCCCCGCGCAGAGTCGCGCGAGTCGTCCTGTGTGTATACGCTGAGCCCTGTTTGTGTGCTTTTCGTGTGAACTTGTATCTTGAAGTGGTTACATTCACAGCAAGTTCCATAGGAACGTCCCGGAGGCCGGGGGCCCTCCCGCAGTTCCCCCCGTGTCAGCACGTTGCACATCTAGCGCCACCGCACACCAGGAAATGGGATTCACTGGCGCCATCCGAGGACCTGTTCCGGGCTTCATTCGTGTGCGTGCCCGCGCACGCACGCAGTAGCTCTGCAGTTCCGTCACGCGTGTAGATTGACGTGACCCCCTCTGCCATCAGTGTCCCAACAGCCTCCCCCCTCCCGCCAACCCGTGGCACCAGTATTGTATTCCCATCCCTGCAGTTGTGTCACCGAGGACTGTTAACATTAATGCAACCTCTGCGGTGTATAACCTGGGATGGGCTTTTTATTTTTTTCACTCACATAACGCGCTTGTGAGCCATCCAAGTTGTCGCCTGCATGGATAGCTAGTTCTTCCTCTGTATTGCTAGCTATAGTCCTTGGTGTAGATCAACCAGTCTGTTAAGCATTCACCTACGGAAGGACGCACTGTTTCTTCCCAGTTTTCGGTGTCTACAAATAAACCCGTTCCGAAGATTCATGTACAGGTTTTTTGTGCGATCGTAAGTTTCCCTTTCTTTGGTATAAATGCCCAAGAGTGCCACTGCTGGGTTCTACGGAGGTGGATGTTTAGCTTTAAAAGAAACTGCCAAATTGCCTTCCACAGTGGCCGTACATTTTACATGACCACCCTGCACGTTTTTAAAACACACGATTGGAATTTTTTAGAAAACAACATTATTTGAAGCAAGATCGTTAACAATTTTCTCTCTTCTAGCTGTATCCTTCTATGTGATCACCAACATACTCACACGGTTTTAAAAAAACATAAGGCTCTACACATTTGTGATTAACTAAGCAAGGTATCTTCGAAATCCCTCCACGTCAGTACACAAACGTCTAGCTCATTTCTTCTCTGGCTGCCCGGTATTTGATAAGAGTACGTGTAGTGTAATTTATGTAATGAGTCCCCAATTGATGTACTTTTTCTTTCTTTTTATTTTTTGCTATTAATAGTAACACTGCAACTACCAGCTTTGGACATGCATCAATCCCCCTCTAGGATGATCAATTACTTCTGAGTGGAACTGCCAGGTCAAAACCTCTGGGCATTTAAAATGTTAACAGATACTAGGTAACTGCCTCCCCCAGATACTTTACTTGTCGTATAATTAGGACTGTTAGTCCTTGTTACCTTGTTACGTATGTTGCAGATACGGTTCCTCAGTCCGTCTCTTGTCTTGAAAGAGGAGGCTTGCTATTTGGGGCTGTCAAGAAGTTGACACATTTTTACATGACCAAATTTATTAAACTCTCAACAGAAGCTTTCTGGGTGGTGCGTATCTTGTGCACGCGTGACAAGAGCGAGGAGACTCTGGGTGGAATTTGAGTGCCTGCTGCCAGTTCCTCGTTGACCCAAGCTGGCCGGTCAGCCCCAGTCACCGGGGGCGGGGGCGGGGGCGGGGTGTGTTGTTCACACGACCCACTGCTGCCTAGGCACTGGGCTGGGAGCAGTGCTTCTCTGCCACCCAGCCCCTGCCCTCTAAGGGGGCCAGTCCAGCTTGGGGGAAAGACAAGGAAATACTTCCCCTAACGGGAAGCGCTTAGTTACATTATTTACATGCGTAGGTGGCCCACAGGTGGACGAGGGAAATCCCTGGGGAAGCAGAGTAAATGAAAACGGGGGGGTGGGGGTGGGGAAATGCGCGGGGCTGCAGCTGGGGCCGCTTGAGGAGCCGCCAGGCTCGGTTTCCAAGGTGCTCGCGGTGATGAGAGAGCAGAACTGAGATCCCACCTAAAGCCAAAGGGTCACCCCTTTGGCGAGGGCCAGCAGCTCCTTCCTGTATTCCCTCGGTTCCTTCAGCCCTCCCATCCCTGAGCGACCAACTGCTCCTATTCAATTCCCTCTGCTGAGAAACTTTGTATACGTATTATTATTATTTTTTTTGTATCCTGACTCGTGCCTGACTGATACAGAATTTGTACTGGGAGTGGCCCCAGAGGTGGGACCCAAAAAGATGAAATTTTGGGGCCTGGTCTGGTCGTGCCCTCGGGCTGCAGTGCAGGGCTGAGCTCCTTGCCAATGGGAAGCGGTGCCTCACAGTTTATCAAGCTCTCACCTGAGGTTGATCGGGACGAGGGGCCGCCTGCAGCCTGCAGCAAGTGAGTGGGGCGCCTGAGTGGCTGCTGCCCTGTGATGTCATGGTGGCGATGACAGCTACAAAGGCTGTGCTGCGGGATGACTCCTGAGCGCGCCACAGCCTGCACAGAGGAAGTATGACAAGCTCAGGCTCCTTACCTCTCAGCTCAAGTAACAGTGTCACAACCACAGTGTGACGACTTCCACTGCAGGCAGCCATAGACATTTCTCTTACCTTCCTGTACCTGCAGGCTGACAGTGCTGAAAATCAAACACACTGTTTGGTTGCACGGGTCCCAGAATCCCAATGCCAGTTGAATTCCTGGTCTCTCCACGTTTCTCACGTGAAAGGCAGGGCAGTGGTTGGAGGAGTGGGGCCCTGAAACCTGGAGCGGGGACATCTGGTTGGCCTCAGATGAAGCCGACGATCAGGAAGACCCCAGGTCCTTCTGACCCTCCCCTGCCAGTGGAAGTAGCCCATCGTCCTGTGTCTGGGGGACTGGTGTTGTCATTACCTGCCCTGGGGCAGGTACCCCACGAGGGGGCACCCGCTGTCCTTGAGACCCTCTGCAACCACCCCCTGTTGCCATTAGACCTGTAACTAGGGTCCATTCACAGCTTGCTCCAGGGGCATAGGCACACAGTACGCAAAGAGGCACCTTTCATATCTGCCCCTACATCTACTGGAGCACTCCTCGGTCCCTGCTTTTAGTGTTTGCAACTCCTCACCAATTTGGGAATAGTTCTGAATTCCAATCCAGCGTTTTTTCTGATCTGAAGCATCGCCCGGAAGGCATGGTACCACAAAGGGTAGGTAGAAGGTACTCAACTTACCGTCTTTTCGCACGTGTGGCCGCCGCTGGGCCGGCGTGTGTGGATCGCGTGCTCTAGCTGAAGAGCTCAGCTCCCAGAGCCCACTGCCTTCGGCGGTCTGAGTCTGAAGCCGAACTCTGCTCTGCCTCACTTTCCTTCCCCTTTAGGATCCGGGAAGGGCCTGGGATGCTCACCTCCATTACCCTTACCTGCACCTCCCTCCATCTCCACCCTCCACTCCCCTGCACCGACATCACCCCATCCCAGTGTCCCTCTCCCTGTCCATGCCTGTTTCTACCTCTGGTCAGCCCGCGGTTCAAGGGGTTCTAGGACACGAGAGACGCAGCCGCGTCCACCTCCGTATAGGGTGGAGCCCTGGCAGCCCTGGGGCGTAGCCTCCCGTGGCCAGCTACTATGGGCGACGCCGATTGGCTGGAGAGCCCAAAGAGTGATGGGACAATACCCAGTGACGTGGCCTGGGTCGCCGCCCGCGGGGCGAGTGGCCGAGCCGGCGGCTGGCGCAGGCTCCATCCGGCGGCCGTGGCGCGGGCCGGTGTAAGGCGGTGTCTAATACTGGACGTCCCTGTAGGGCCTCGGCGGTTCGGAGGGGTACGCGCAGCCAGGGCTGCGGAGGAGGGGAGGGCTGGCCTGCGAAGGGAGAAGCGGTGTGATTCTCCGCGGAGCCGTGGACTCTCCCAGGGAGGCTGGGATATGCGGAGGGCAGAGGCGGCGACTGCGTGGTTCGTAGCCCTCGATGGGGACGTTTCGATAGCACTTCTAAAGTCCTGGCCACGGTCCTGTGAGATAGATACTATCAGCATCATCAGCTCCACCGCTCCTTAGAGATGAAACAAACAGGCAAAAGAGTTACTTAGTTATCCCCCCAATCCCAATACCCTCCTGGCAATATTGTGATGTACTTAAGCGCCTACAGCAGTTGACCGTGTGCTTGCCTACCATCATCTTGGCTATTCTGCACTCGGGAGCTATAGCTGGGCCAAGGTGGCTACAGGGCCACTCTCTTCGCTGCGCGATCATCGCCCTGTTCAAGCCCTGTTACTAGACTGGTCCTACTGTTCTTGCTCAGTACGAGTGGGGTCCGAATTCAGGCTTTTGGAATGGCGCTTTACCTGTGGATGAAATTTATTGCTCCACTTAGGCTGTCAGTGCATTCGTGTGCACTGTTTCTGTTGTATACGTCAGATAGGGCATTTTACAGGAATACAAGCAGGTGTGGAGCTAGTGCATGGCTACATGTTCTGGCTTGTCTGTATTCATGATGGCTTTCCTTAGAGTGTACAGTACTTCACTGTAAGGCTGGAGGCACTGGAGGGAGAAGGGCGAGGACAGTGCAGGCGGGGCAGAGGCAGCACCAAGTAGCCCTGTGCTGTATGGGGAAGGAACAAACAGCTCTTCCTGGATTCCGGTCCCATGACGTGCCGACAAACCCGGGATGCAGACCCCCTCCATCCGGAAGGAGACCTCTGGCTGTCCATCACCCAACCCTGAGCCAATAAAAAATTCCTCACCTACCCCTAGCGCGGCCCACTTCCCCCTCCCTTCCTTGTTCTCTTAAAAACTCCCGCCTCCCCTCCTGGGCGTGACTTCCCCGCCTGTGATAGCCAGACCAGGAAACCTCGCCTGGGAATTGCGCTCAAATAAACTACCTGGCCCTTTGTTGCCTCTCTTGGCCTGCTTATTTCGGTTGGAATTTATCTTACATTCACGTCACAGCATCTTCATGGTCATTGTCTCATTCACTCCTACAGAGCTGTTTAAGCATACAGACAAGATACATACATGCAAAAGCATCAACATAATTGCACATGACCCAGCAAGCCCACTCCTAGGTTTATAGACATTCAAAACAAGTGAAAATATACATCCACAAACTTGAGTAGGAATGTTCAGCACATCATTCACGAGACAAAATGAAAACCCAAATGTTCATCAACTGCTGGATAAAACGTGGTCTAGACATAGGATGGACTTTTATGTGGCCATAAAAAGGAATGAAATTCTGACTTGCACTAGGATGCAGATGAATCTCAAATGTGTCATGTTTAGTGAAAGAAGCCAGACACAAGGTGGCCACATACTGTGTGATTCCATTCATGTCCCAAACAGGCAAATCCAGAGACAGAAGATGAATTGGTGCCAGGGGCTAGTAAGTAACTCCTAACAGGCTATATAGGTTTTTTTCTGGGGGGAATGCAAATGTCCTACAATTGACCATAGTGCTGCCTGTGCCACAGCTCTGAGTATACTAAAACCACTAAAGTGTACACTTTAAATGAGTGAACTATACAGAGAGTGACATGGTTAGTTGAGGCATAATTTTTTTGCTTATTTCTATTCCCTAAATTTTCTACAATGATCCTTTATCAACTGTTTTTCCAAAAATCAACTGTTGATATTTTAGATGTTGTAATATTTTGTATCAATTCTATCAACTGTTTTACAAAAATACATTTTTGAAATCTTATTAAGTAAGCATGGCAATAATCATGCTCATTTTACAGGCCAGGAAGCCAGCTCAGTGATTTAAAGGGGCAGGAGCAGAATGAGTAGCCCCAAGGAGGACTCCAAGTGCCAGGCTACTTCTTAAGTCTCTACCACACATTCTGGAATAAAGACTCCTGATGACCAGTTAATGAGGGCAACAAAAATAACGACCATGACATACCAGACACATTCAGTCAATTTTATGTTTAGTTTTGAAGCTTGAGCCCATCTTTATCTGGCTGGCACTTTCTTGTATTCCATCCGCATGAATTCTGTGCTCACAGCTGAAAGAAGCAGGGATGGCTTTTCAGGCCACCCACTGTCCCCTAGTGTTACACCTGCTACCCAGAACCATTTCCTATTTGCTATTAGGGGACAGGACTCTCTCCTGTTTTAGATAGAAGCTCCTTCCTGATTTAGGATCTAATCAAGAAGAAACCAAGTCACACATTCAAGGAACAAATGGGAAAAAGCAGCTGGTTTTTAAATGCTTTATTAACATTAACTAGTATCCTTAGTAGATGAATATAATTGAGCTAACAGTTTGGTTTGGTCACTGGGAAAATGAGTCATTTCTGAGGCCTCACAGAAGAGTGCAGTGTGGAGACTAGAACTAGTTGTGTTCTCTCTTCACAGAACCGTCACCATGAGCAGCACAGGACATCCTAAGAGCTTCTGCTGCTGCTCCACAGCCTCTGCACCATGGAGGGAAGTTGAAGGTGACTACAGAAGGCAATTCCAGGGCAGCTACAATCACACAGTCCCTGGGGAGCTTCAGGTAGGATGGCAGCATGTGGACTCCGGAACTGGGGCAGCAGTGTGCAGCTGAGCGCTTGCCTGCTACATAGCTAAAGTCACAGTTTCATTACTTTATGAGGAAAATACACCCATTTAAGAACTGGGTACCCTTTATCACTCCCCAGGCTGGTTATCCATACTTCAGAAAAAACTATTCTGTCAGTTAAAACCTTACAACCCACTTCAGTGACTCAAAGATGACAGTTACAATTGTAGATGTAGTTATGGCTTAACAGGGAAGTAGTTAACTTGCTTTGCTTTTAAGAACCAAGCACAACAGTATAAACTTGAACAGTGGTTTGGCAACAAGCAGAAATATAAACAGGCCCATCTTTTAAGACCAAAGCCTACAGCTATAGGTCTTTGATGTGCCTGGCATGGATTCCAAACATATCCCTCAGCTCACTTGGTGTCCCACTCGGAGGCACTCCTGGCACTGCCAGCTGATGGACCAGGATGTCAGGCTCCATGGAGAGAGCTGCAGAGATGGCCTCCCCGATGCTACCTGGGAAAATAAGGAACATTGGCCTCTCTTCTGGAAGCTGCTAGTCAGCCTTAAAGCCTCATGACAGACCTTTGGATTTGCTGGATCCCAGGGAAACCTGTTTTTCACTAGCTACTGATTCATGTAAATAATCATTCCCTGACTGGCCAGGAGAGTTCTCATTTGAAGCTGTGGGTCTCCGAATTGCTCTTAGTCCCACCTATAGCAGGGGCCCTATCAGCCACAGCTCCATGGATTCAGGGATCTGTGAAGTTCAGATTCTCAAAAATTCTAGGAACCCAAAAATGGTTAAAACCAACAAACTCTACAGAAAAGAGTAACTGGCAGGCATGGAGCTGCTAGCTTCTGCCCGTAGATTGACCCTCAGGTGGCACCTGGGAAGTGGACTGGTGCAAGTCCCTACTGGTAAGGGTGGACCTTGTGCCTGGGCCATTTGCACAATGGCGTTCTGCGGAGCATCTGCTTTTCTCTGAGCGTCAGGAAGTTTGATGTGTGCCTCACAGAGGGTGCCTGCATGACCAGCCCTCAATAAAACCCCCAGACACAGAGTCTTTTGAGTGGGTTCTTGGGTCTCTAAGTGATAGATTTGTCACCGCTGGAGAAGGGAGTGCCCTTGGCTGACCCCTCCTGGGAAGGAGGGAGCCTAAGGCATGGGGTTCTCCAGTCCCAGCCTGTGCCTTCTGTCCTCGTGGACCCGGGGTGTGTGTGCCCTTCCCTGGCAACAAGCTTCAGCAGGGAGGGCACTGGGAGCGCTTCCGAGAACCACTGTGGGTCATAGATATGCTCTTGGGGACCCTGACGTGCTAACACATGAAGCTCCCTCATCCCCTCATCTGTGCCACCCAACCTTCCCAGGCCAAACTCTGCCCAGCCTCCTCTCCATGGCACGCATTCTCTTTCTGCATTGGCTGGGTTCTCTGCTTGCAAAACACTATTTCCATTTTGTGGGGACAAACTATTAGTCATTCAAATCTCAAGAGCAACTGTGAAGCTTTTCAACCCCCTCCCTGCCCACTGTGTTGAAAGTTAGACACTTCTTTGTGCTGCCACTGAGCCACCCAGGACCAGGCACTGTGCTAGGGACACATAAATGAGTACGGGCATGATCCCACCCTTACGAAGCCAGTGTAGGTGGGTGGGAGATCCCTAAACTGATACACTTGCAAGAGTAGTGATAAAGGTTGTTGGGTGAGTGGCTGCCGGAAGTGATGCCCGGGAGCATAGCACGCCTCCAATCACAGAAAACAAAAAACACATCCTGCCAAAGTAGACTTTCAGAATGATCTGCAAGGCCCACACACACCTTCTGGGTAGTGATCCTCCACTGTGATAACTCGGCCACCTGTGGCTTTTGCACTGGAGGTGATGGTGGCAACGTCCAGGGGCTTAACAGTGAACAGGTCGATGACACGGACAGAAATATCTGGGGAACATCAATAATTAGTTTGGTATATGAAGTAGACTTAGAATGAAAAGACCAATTGGGGCACATGAGGCAGCCCAAGTCCTACCTCTCCCCAGCTTGAACTGAGCTTGCTTGGTAAGATCTTCAGCAGCTGCTAAAGCTTCAACAGAGTATTGCACCCACTAAACAGAACTGCTGTGGTTACTCTGCAGAGAGCACCTCAAAGTGGAGAACCTTTCTGCTCCACTGCTCCTCCCCGAGCCCACCCACTTGACTCCTTAGTCCTTCACTATACAAAAGGCTGGGTCAGCGCCCTAACAAGGACACACAGTTTGATAAGCCCCACCTTATGTCCGTTCGACAAATTCATCTGCTTCTCATTATTTTACCAAACCACTAAGTAATATACAATACACACACAAACTGACCCTTTAGCAAAGAAGGTGGAATTTAAGCTGGGATCTGAAGGGCAAAGGGCCAGAAGCAGGCTGTAAAGCCCACATGCTTCAAAGCACAGTCATACTCACCAAGGGGACTAGAAAGGCACCATCTCTGCCCCTACTTGAACATCTTGCTGGGGCGCACACACAGACCGGATTCCAATGATGAATTAGGTTAATTTAACAGGGGCCATTTTGGGGCATTTGCAATGTACTCTGTGCTGACCACCTTGCACGCCTGAGCGCCTGGTAAGGCCTGTGCATTAGTGAGCCCATTCTGTGGCCGAGGAAAGCAAATCTCAGAGCAGGAAGGACTTGCCTAAGGCGGGGCTGAGATGGGCAGCCAGGCCTGTCTGATGTCAAAGCTTGACTCTCTCAACCACTTGCTATTCTGCAAGCCAACACAGGGGTCCCCGGCCTTTTTTCATAGTTTTATTTCCTCTAAAGCCCCCCAAGCAAAGGCACCTGGAATTAATCATTTAGTCTCTCTGTATAGGTTTCCCTGTAGCTTAAGCCCTGCGGACAGTACAGATATTCAGGGCTTTTAAGCCACCTCATTCATTGAGAATGTCCTTGCCTTTATATATATACACACACTCCTATGTCCCCTTTACAAAATCCAGCCCTTGAATTATCCATGTCATGCATATTCCCACACACATTTTAGCCCATATCCTTTACCATCAGGACATTCACCTCATTTTGTTGGGACAGGGCAAACATTAGGGGAAAGAAAAAGGAGGGCAATGAGAAAGCTTTGCGAACCGCCTGACTGCCATCAAGACACCCAGACTGAACAGATCTGTTATTCATTTGAAATGAGTTCTATTATTTTGTTTAGCATGAGGTAATGGTAAGTTATAGCCAAGCAACTCAAGTGCCTTCAAGTTGTTATTACTTTAAGAGTTCAACAAAGAGGAGACTCCATTTGGAAAGGACAGAAGTTCGGTTCAGGCTGATACTGTTACAGTGTTCCTTCCTGAGAGACAGCAGGCAAAGGTCACAGCTGATTTTTAAAACACTAGAGCAAAGAATGGATTGAAGCCTCAACTGTGGGGCTGCCTAGTGCTAGCTCAAGAGCAGTTCTCTCCATGTGAAATGACACTAGAAGACGCTGGAGAACCGAAGGCCTTACCTTGGCCTTTCCTATCTCAAACTTTTCTTGTGGGGTATAAATAACTGCACACTCTGGCCGGCTGGTCTGAATGTAGCACATCTCCTAGGGCATAAATGAAAACCAGAGCTACACTTTAGAAAATCAAACTATATTTCCCGCTAATATACCTTAAAAAGTAAAGGGGACTTGGGAGGAAGACTCAAGAGCTCTTTTTATTAAAAATAAAGTGCACATTTTGAAGCAAGGGATAAAGAGTTACAACCCTTAGCAAAGTGGTCAGGTTACCACTGAGCCAGGCCAAGCTTGTGCAGGACCCTGGGGCCCGCCCTCAGTGACACCCTTTACATGCCGTTAGGCTCAGGGATTCAGGAAAGCTTACTCAATATACACTCACCTATTCTCTCTGCACAGAAAGAACATAAACTCAGGGCAAGAGCACTGACTCTTGTTGAATAGAAAGCCCAGAACATGATGTTAAACACTTAGGTTTTGCCACAATAACTTGTAATGATTCATCCTTAGAGATGCGTTAAACACTGGAATAGAAAATGACTCAATGTTTTCACAATGGCCAGAAGAAATACATGCTTTTATCAACTTGAACACATAAAAAGGAATATAAATACTCTAATGTCTAAAGTATTTATCAGCTTACATACATATTTAATCATACATTACAAGCTAATATATTAATTTAGAAACACTGCTTCTGTTTATTCATTCACAAATTATGAACCAATTCTACTCAGTGTTTTTATTGAAGTAAAATTTACCTAAGTGGAGCACACCATGAATTCTGACAAAGGCAAAGACCATGTAACCATCACCTGAGCCTGGACAGCATTTGCCCTGCCCAGGAAGCTTCCTCACACCTCTCCCCCAGTCACTCTCCCCACCTGAGATGCATCCTTTAATCTGATTTCTATTACTATAGCTTTGTTTTGCCTCTTTTTTGAATTTTCTACAAATAGGATCCTCCAACACATAGGATATCATGCTGTATATGTATAGGTAGAAAATAACTTCCTGGATTTAGTTAAGTAAAAAACCAACTACAGCACAGTATGTACTATGGGAGCCCACTTAGGTCTCCGTAAGGAAAAAAAACCGGTCAAGGAAAGGTGTCTCTAATGTGCCGGACGCACCCAGCAGAACTCGCACGGCCGGGCCCCAGCCACGCCCAGCGCTGCCTGTGCGAGGGCACAGGTGGGTGTGAGGCTGGGTGGGGATGGGGATCTGGTGACTGGTAGTCTGAGTGGTTGGCAAGGTAAAGACTCTGTGCCCTAGCTACCTGTGCACCTGGGCTCTGGACAGGAATCAAGTTGTGTCCCCCTGCTGCCCTTGTGTGAACTTCAGGAAGGGCACGTGGGACCAAGCCATAGTCTTGCCTTCTAAGCAGTGTCTTGAGGGGGCAGGGCTAGGGATTCTGGGGTTTGTCCCACTGGCTACTCTCCAGCTTTCTGGATGTCACAGGTGCTGCTGGGCTGGGGTGTGTCTAAGGCCAGCCCCTAGTAGCTCATGCTGCAGCCCCCTCCCTGGCCCTGCTGATGGCTCTTCTCCCACCGAGCCCCACCTAATGCAGGCCATCAAGTGCTGGTCAACAGCCTTCTGCCCTGTTTGTCCTTTACAACATGAATGTTCTCTGTGCTTAATCACCTTTTTTTGTGAAATGGTTCTATTTCTAAAAGGAATCCTACAAACTAAAATTTCTATAATGAATATCTATTACCTTTATGCTGAGGAAAAAAATGGGAAAAATCCAACTATCACTACAAAACTAGTAGCAGAGCCTAGAAGTATTTCCTGTCTGAACCAGTATCCCTTTAAAAGTACCTTGGTATTGGCTGCCAGGAGAACAGCATGCTCTGTCGAGACAGCATCACCTGGATAGAAAATAGTGCAGTTGGGAATGGCTCGGAGCATGGCCAGATCCCGCAAGGCCATCTGGGAGGGGCAGTCTCCACCTGAGAAAGCCAAGCCACAGCCCAACAAAAACATGAGCAAGACCCAACTAGGAACTCACCCTCCGCTGGATAACCAACAGCACTTATTGCCATAGGGGGCCCACAGCTGTAGCAGAGCCCACAAAACTGATTCTTACGTCAATATAATGTCTCATAGTGGCCTGCCATGTGTCTCTCTCCTGTGAGACATCACTGTGACACTCTGAGTTAGGCTCCTGATTGACCTTTCAGATCAACACCGGTGGCTTCCTCTTGGCCCTGACCCTCGCCAGACTCTGACACTCAGTCGCTGGGCACTGCTGGCGCTGGCCAGGGTTGGCTCAAAGCTCTGCTCCCTGAGCACCGGTGGCCGAGTTGGCCCCACCAAGGCTGCCCCTGTCCTCTTCTCCTAGGAGGGGCCTGTCAGGCTCTGTCCTTCCTTGTCTGCTCTTCTATCTTCTCCATCAAGAAACTGTTGTTTTCAGATTGAAGTAGTCTTTTTCATTTCTCAATGCCTTCAAAGCAGCTCAGCATACCTTTGGAGCACCCTTGGGGGGTGTGAGAACAGAGGGGGGCCTCTGTTTGGGAACAGTGTTTCTGGCCCAAAACAGGGTGGAAGGGAAAGCCCAGTGTACACCAAGGTGGCCTGGCTCTTCCAGCTAGGAAGTGGACTGTCACTATACACGTGGCTTTACTCGTGACAACTGTCTAACCTCAGACCCTGGTTCCTCTGCTTTGGACCTAGAGCCGCTTCACTTAGCTGACTGATTTTAGGCCCTGAAATACTGCTGGCCCTCCTCTTCCCCCGCTCTGCTTTCCCCCACTGTGTCTGACTTTTCCAGAGACTTCTTAGCCAGTCTGGCCCTCTCAAGAACGTCCAGAAATGATGCCCAAACATGTAAGTCCAGCCCCCCCTCCTCTAGCACCATAGCAGTGACTGCAAGCTGTCTCAGATGACTTGCCCCACTACACGTGCGCCAGGCACCTTGCTTGTCAGTCATGAGCACAAACAACTCCCTGGCGTTCCCTGAGTGAGAAACTCCTGGAGACTGGCGCTCTGCTTTTCGTGCAGTTTTGGCCTCCTCCATCTGCCAGCAGTGTTAACTTCTTCCTTTAGACTCTCAGATTCACCTTTATTTTCTCTCAGCTGCCAGCACACACTATTTCAACCCTCTGGCTTCCCCATCTCCCATTGTTTGTTTAGCCTGTCCTGTCAGGTTAAGGCCCTGAGAGCAGCGTCAGCCTCGGCCTCCCTCCCTTGCGTTGACCCCTTCGACGCTTCCCATTCCATCTGAGCAGGCTGCTCTGCCCACACACAGCCCTGGTGGGCTATGCCCCTCACTTCCCTGTGCCCATGCTGCTTGTCCCCAGTTAGACAAAGCTGACCTCACTGAGAACACAAAGGAATTCTGTGATGCCAGGGTGGCCTTTTTCATACCCAGTTTGTTGCTCAACACTTAAGAGGCACTCAAGACAGATAATTATTTCTCAGTGACTGAAAGAGTGAACACTTAACGGTAATACCAAGAGATCTGCTCAAAAGTAACCAGGAGTGTCTGAAAGTTTTAAAGCAAAAACAGGTTACGAATAATCAAACATTACAGAACCCTAAGTATATTGGCAGGTCAGCCACTCACATACTAATCTTTCTCTGTAAAGGAAGAAAGCTCCCAAGATGATGGCACTGAGAACCCGTACCAACAGATAACCCTCAGTGGGACCCAGTAAGGTTGATGGTGGTTTGAGAGATGCCTCCCATCTGGATCTGGTCAAATACTTGTCAAAAAGGCAGCAAAGGTGCCAGCAAAAGCAATGGTCTGACAACAGATGATGTATCCCAGCACCACGCCTACGTGTAATACAAAGAAGGTGAATCAGAACACTGGATCCTGCTCCCGTTATGCCTCAGTGCTCGGCCCTTTCCCTTACCCACTGTAGAGTGCATGGCTCCCAGGAGAGCCCTACTCCACACACACCCCTGCCTCCCCCCTTCCCAGGCACCTACCTGAGAAAACCCCAGCCCTGGCAAACTCACTGTGTCCCCTGAACACTGCCAGAAAATACAGACTCCTTCAAATCCAAGATGCGGAAGCACAGAACGCTCAAGACTACGCTGCACCCCCTTTTCCCTGTCCCCTCCCATGACGCCCTCACCTAGAACCTCCTGGGAAAGAAGAGGTGAAAGATGGAGGGTCTTCTCTCTGCTCCAATCACCCCTGTCCCAGCCCTGTGCCACTAAGACATGGCAGCCCTGAACATACTGAAGGCCCACACGCCATGCTTTCTCATCCCACTCCTGCTTTCTCAAGGGCATCTCAATGCAAATATCCCCTCTCCTCCTGTGTTCAATCACTTGCTCCCTTTCTCTTGGGCTGTTCTCTCATCGTCATGCGGTAGTATCTTCCTCATCCCCTGCCCACGCTCTCCATCTGGGTTCTCCTTCGCAGAACTCTTCTCACACACCCCACTTGGCCGTTTCTCACCCTCTGCCCAGCCTCTGTCATGTAGGCCACCCTCCCCGAGGGGCCTCCGTGTGCGCGGCATTTGACTTCACAGCAGCATGTGGCACAGCAGCCCTCCTGCCTCACTGGATGCGGCCGCCATCCCCACTCCCTCATCTGCTGGATGGCCCACCTCTTTTTCGTGGCTGGACTGAATCCTGGGGCTCAGGATCACACCCTTGCTCCTCTGCTCCCTCCACTGGGAGCTCGTACGTGGTCTCAGCCATCACTCTGACCTGCATTATACTAATGACCTCCCATGGAACGCCAGGCTCACATACGCCAGCAGGTGTCAAACTAAAAGATGAATATCTGGAGATAAATAAAGACCTTCCAAGGGGCACATGGCCATGGTTTCACCGTCAAGATCCTTGACTCCACATTTGTGTGCAGGAGAAAAGGCCCATTGCTTCCTTTCCCATGTGTCTCCCTGACAATCATCTTCTAGCAAACTCTCGACCTTCTCAAATCCTACAGTGGGACAGCACCCGGGAGCACGCAGTCTCTGGGGTGAGACGAAAAGGACCATCCGAAACAAGCACAGCGGCAACGAGAAAGCGAAGAACTCAGATGAGCAGAGAGCAAATTCTTTTGTAAGTCAGGTGTTTTCCAGTTCTATCCTTGCAACAAAACTGAAAGAGAACCTAATGGAACTGTCAACTCTTCACTAATCATTTTTCATGAACAACTCTATACATTGTTTAAGACTACTGTGACTTCGGGCTTATAACTGGGCAGGAATTCAAAGAATCAGATGAATTCCTACAATAAAACTCCTTCTATTATCATTAACCTATTTATGTGAATAAGGTTTCTTGGCACTTACATCATTAAAACAGCAATAGACTCTGTTTGGAATCTTGTCTCATTCAAGCTATAACTATATTTAATCCATTGATACACAAACTAATAATTATAACCATAGCTCAATCCAAAAGAAAAAACTAATGCTCCAAGGCCTATGGACACAGGATAAATTTTAAAAACTTTCAATTTATATGCATATTTTCTTGCAGAGAACAATAGCATTATCGATAAAAGGCTTTTGTGCATAAAAATATGCTGGGAAAATAGAATGGAAGAAAGAATTCAAGTATAAAAGGATTTAATTTCTCACAGTTAAAGACAGTCCTCATGTAATCTTTAACATGAAGACTCTTTCATTTTATGATTCACTATTTTAAAGTGCCACAAACTTTGATATATGGGAAATTACATCTTTTGCAACTAAAATTTGTGATGAGGAATTTAGATGTTAATTTAAAGCTAGGCAGGATATGTAGTTAATAAGAACCCGGCCAGCAGTTTGGAGAGCAAAGGCATTCAATGACAACTGACACAGCTGCCGACCTACATGATCCCCCTCCCCCATGCCTGTCAGGTACCTGCCCTGACACAGCTCCTGTGTCCCCAAATATAGTCCTCCCTCGGTCGTGTCCATCTCATGACGTGACACCACTGCACCAGGTGCTCTGGCCCACACCCTGGTGCCAGCCTTTGTTCCTGTCCTGACACCTACCCCATGGGGTCCTACTGTCTCTCCTGTCAAGGCAGATTCGGGATAAGTCTGCTTCTCTCCACCCTCCAGCTACTGTCCTGGCCCAAGTCCCACCTTCCATCACCCTCAACTCCTGCCATAAGCTATCCTCCACAGTGTAGGGTCTCATAAAACACATCATGTCCCATGGATGGACCCATCAGGTATTATGCTAAGCAAAGTAAGTCAGACAAAGACCAATGCCATATGATCTCACATATATGTGCAGTCTAAAAAACAAATGAACAAAAACACTTCACCTCACTTTTCCTGCTTCAAGCCCCCCAGTGGTTTCCCAGCAAACGTCAAGGAAACTTGAGATGCTGAATGTGGCCTGTAAAGCTCTGTATGGTCTGGCCCCTGGAGACCTTTCTGTGGCAATTTCCTTCTGTGCTCACAATGCTTCTGCCGCTGCCCCTCGTGCTCCCTAAACCTCTCAAATCTGGACCTACCACGGAGCTAGCTGTGCCTTTTGCTGGGAATGCTTCCCTCCAGAGAGATCTGTGCATGACTGACTCCTTGTCACTTAAAACTCAGCTTAAATGTCATGTCTCCTTAGAGGTTGTCCCTGACTGGCCCCAGTCACACTCTTTACCACAGGCTCCAGTTCACCACAGCACTGGATACCACCTGCTGGGCATGCATTCACTTGCTGTCTTCCCATTGGGGGCACAGCAGCAGGCACAGAGCACCCAGCTGCTGGCACAAGGAATCAGTGAGTCAGGGAACGAGCTTTTGGACGGGTGGCTAGATTCAGAAATGCATGGGTTGGATTGTTTTCCATTCAAAATGGAAACAGCTTAATGAGACTCACAGCAAGATACACATATTCCTACAGTTTTGACCGCTTCCCTTACTGAACAGGGGAGCTTAAATTCTAACACTAACAGGGCCAGTGGGAGGCAGGGACACAGCAAGCTGGCTGTGGATGTCCATCCAAATGGGGTCCCTGCTTGGCTCCAGCCAACGGTGGCAGGAGTAAATCCCAGTGTTGCCAGATTTTCCCATTCTTCACTCTACCCCCAGAAGAGAATCCAGAATCCAGAAATTTGGATTCTATATAAAATCTGATTTTTAAAAGCTAGAAACTAATTTTAAAAAATCTGTTAACTACTACTCATTCTAAATGAAATATCTCTGGTGGTCGTGTGAGACCTGCTGGCTCATAGTTTCCAGGCTGGTGCTGAGTTTGGCCTCCATGATGTGTAGATAGATGTGCACTGTCTACAAACAAGCTTCACAAAACAAGGCGTTTACTTGCATCAACGTCTTTCTCCCCCGAGATTGGTGGGGGTAATATGTACATATGTAAAAGAGACCCCCTGCATTAACATCACTCTGGGGGGAGGCTGAAGCACAGAGAAGTAGAGTAGCTTCTCCTAAGGCCACAGCTCTACCAGCATTCTTCAGGCTGCATTTAGTGCGACATTTGGTATTTAGGGTATATTAGGCACCGCGCTATAGTGGAGAGCGAGAAACCAGTCTCTTGCAGCTCTCTCAACCTCCTGGCCTCTGGGTGGTTGTAGGATCACCTGATTCTGGGCTGGGCAGAAAGAGTGGGAATACCTATAGCTATTAGGGAGCTTAGAATGTCTGGAGCCCTGGGGTCGGATGGCTGTGGCCCTCCACCTGCTACCCTCAGCCTATAGGAAGAAGGTGCTGGGAAGTCTACCATGCCACTCCCAGCAGTCCTGGAAGCCACCCCCAGACTCTGGCTACTTGCTACCTGTTTCCACAGAGTCTATTTTTCCCCCCAGTTCCTTTGCTTTTATAAATGGGAAGAGAAACTGCAAAAGGGCAGTCAATCTCCTGTGTCCGGTGGGCCACCGTTAGTCAGTGAACCAAGAGGTATGCCTACAGCACACACACCATGTTTTGCTTGGCGCTAAAACACTTGCTGAACTGCTCAGGGTGCTCCTTCTTGAATACATCAGAGAACGTGGAGGTTTTGGTGTCACCATCCAGCACGATGACTCTATTACTTGCACAGCTTTCCGAGTACCTATCTGAAAGGGTCAGACAGTAGTTTCTCAGAATGGTGACGTTTATCAGCATTACAAATTGTCTTCTCACGTTAATGAAGAAAGCAAATTTATGATTCACCAAAAATCTCTTTCAGGGTCATAAAATGCATTGGCAGTCAATCTAAAATCATACTTGGCTCACTGGGTATTAATTTCTCAAAGAAGAATTTATTCTTCTGTCCCATTCATACAGTTGACTTAAAAGTTTAGATTTCCCCAAATGCTAATGCCTCTGTGACTTTCTAACTATAAAATTGATAATAATGGTCCCTGAAAAAATCAAAATGTAAAACTTTAGAATCATGATGTCAATAACAAAGAACTCCATTAGGATATTGTTTGAGATTGGACTGAATTTATGTATTAAGGGAGATTGATATCTTTAAAATAGTGAGTTTTTCTACTGCAAATCAAGGTGTGGTAGTTCCTCAAATGGTTAGACATAGAATTACCACATGACCTAGCAATTCTACTCCTAGGAGAAAAATACATCTATACAAGAACTTGTACGCAGATGTTCAAAGCAGCATTATTCCCAATGGCCAAAAGGTAGAAAAAATCCAAATGCCCATCAAGCCAAGAATGGATTAACAAAGTGTATTCTATATCCATGAAATGGAGTACTGTACATGCTACAACACGGATAAACCTTGAGAAAATTTTGCTAAATGAAGTAAGCCAGACACAAAAGCTCGCATATTATATGATCCCACTGATATGAAATGTTTGGAATGCGCAAATCCACAGAGACAGAAAGTACATCAGTGGATCCTAGGTGCAGGGTGGGAGTGGAGAGTGACTGCTAGTGTGGATGGGGTTTCTTTTTGGGGGGATGGAGATGTTGTAAGATTGAGTGCAGTGAATCTGCCCAATTCTGTTAATATGTTAAAAATCACTGAACTGTACACTTCAAATGGATGGATTATATAGGGAGTTGTTATATCTCAAAAAAGCTGTTATAAACTTCCCCCAAGGTTTTCCTCTTCATTATTTGTCTTCCATTCATCCACTCTTAAAAATAGTTAAAAAAATAGGCAATTCCTGTAGATAGTACACACGTTATGAGAGAATATTGAATGAAGAGGCCATCTTCCTCCCCCTCTCCTGTCCCGAGCCACCCAGTTTCCCTCCCCAGAGGTAAGCGGAAATAACAGGTTTGTGCAGTATCTTTTCAGGAATGGTCAATGCACAAAATGATTGGTAAGCATCTTCTACGCATAAGGCATGTGGGCTTCTTTCAATGCTATAATTTTATAAGCATCTTATTATAGATCTTAAACATTTAAGTTCATCTTTTAGTTATTTTAGTTCTTATTGCCATTATAAAAGGGACCATCTCTCCATTTTGTTAATGTAAGAAAGGAATTAAACCTCGTATATCAGTTTTGCTACAAGCTCTCTTGCTGGACTCTTCTTTTTATAACCATTTCCATTGATTCTTAGATTTTCTAGATATACAACTACCATCTGAAAATGACGACAGGCTTGCCTTGTCTTTGTTAGGACTGAGTCTTTTATTCTGTTATTTAACCAAATTGACTAGCACTTCCAGGACGGGGCTGACTCTGCCAGATTAATGAGGTGCTTTTATTGGTAGGTACAAAGGTGGTTCCAGGTTTAAGATATCTAGATTGATAATGGAACTGAAGTTATCTCACTTGCCCTATTTTGCCTTAATAAGAGTTTAAAACACAAAAACAAAAATATGAATGAATGAATTTTATGAAAATGATAATAATTTCTCCCCTCTGGTATTGATGAATCATTCTATTACTAATTTGAACTTCACTGATTCATATACTTGTTAAAATGCACTAAGGGAGCTGAGATTGGTGAATGTTTTTCCAATTTTTACATCAATATTCCTAAGTGAGTTTGGTTTGGAGGCCAGGAGTCCAAAATCAGTTTCATTTGGCCAAAGTCAGGGTGCAGCAGGGCCGGGCTCCCTCTGGAGACTCTAAGGGACAGTCCATTCCTGGCTCCCTTCCAGCGTCCACTGATTGCCAGTTCCTTAGCTTGTGGCAGCACCACTCCAATCTTCCAGGCCAGAATGTTCACGTTTCTGCCCTCTCTGTCTTCATGTGGTCTCCTCTATGTGCAAAGGCTCCCTCTGCCTCCCTCTGAAAGGGATGTGCGTGATGGCACATTCGCTCAGGACCTCCTCTGTCCCTGCCACATGATGCCCCTACCCATGATGCTTGATGCCTCCTACACCTGTTTCTCCATCCCAGATGTCTCCAAGTTGCAGGCCATTAGGTTCTAGCTCAGTTTGCCAAAAGCCAATCCCCACGTATGATCAAGAGTATACTCCTGCAACAATGTCCTAACCCCAGTTTGGGACGATTGGTATTGGAGAGAGTGGCCTTCACAGCTTTGGGAGATATGGGGGGCATTTGGTTGGCTGGTCATCGTTTTGCCTTTGTAAGAGCATTTTCCAGAGTAGTCCACTGGCTCCTGCGACTGTGGAGCTAGACAGAGAATGGTCCTTGACCAAGGGAAGGACAGGGAGGACACTCAGCTGTGTCACAGCGAGGATGCTGCTGCCAGAGGGTGAGGAGGCTGGGGCCCCAAAAAAAGAAGGGACTAAGAGAATATCTTTTGGAATTAACATCTTATTCAATAATATGTTCAAGAATACATTAATAATTCTTATGAGTGTATTAATGAAGAATCTACTCATTGTCTTTAAAGTTGTGAAGAATCTATTCATGAATATATACTTGAACATAGTTAATATCTTGAATGTTCTTGTGGCTAGATCCTTCATGTAACTGGAAAGCTAGTCATGGGGAATCTACCTTCGGGGTGGACACCCTGTCATCTACCCCCTCTATGGGCAGCAGCCTCAGCCATGTCAGCCCCCTTTCTTCTCAGCGGTGAGCAGGGCAGAGACCAATTGCATACTCCTTGAAAGACTTTTATGAACTGGCTCTTGATGAATTGGCTTTTGATAAATGGATGTTCAGCTTATTTGCTGCCCAGGGGACATCTCCATGTGGGTGTCAGTCACATTCTGGAAGCAGGACCACATTGACCTCCTTGCGTCACATTCCCAGTCTTCCTGGGCTCTTCCCTCCATGGTAGTGCTAGACGCCTCCTGGCCTCTGGCCTTCCTGCAGCCCAAACGAGGAACCTCACAGTATTTTTTTAAATTATGAAATACTGTAAACCCAGGGAAATGTAGAGAGTAACATGATCAGCGTGTAGACCCATCCCTAGCTTTCTCAGATTGTAACAAGTACTGTGTTCACTTCAAATCTTGTTTTTTGAAGAAATAAAAATTTTAAAGATCCGCTTGAAGATCTCATTACGCATTCCCAGTTCCATCCCCCTCGTTCCCACCTCCTTATCCTTGTTGGGCCCTGACCTTTTCCATGCGGGCTTTTATACTTTTACTGCTTATAAACACAGCCTTAAATAACAGGTAGTGATGGTATGTTTGTGTTTTTTAGCAGCTCTGCTGAGATATAATTTACATGCCATAATATACACCACTTTAACTGTAGGTTTATGATCTTTACTAAATTTACTGAGTTGTGCAACCATGACCACAGTCCAATTTTTTGTTTTTATTTTAATAATAGCTTTATTAAGATATAATTCACATCCTATAAAATGTATCTGTTTAAAGTATACAATTCAGTGGTTTTTAGTATATTCAGAGTAATGCAACAATCACAAGCATCTCATTCCGGAATGTTGTCATCACCTCAAGAAGAAACCCCACCCTGTTATTAGTCACTCCTCTCCTCCCTCTAACCCAAGCCCCTGGCAACCACCTCTTGGCTTCCGTCTTTATGGACTGGCCTCTTCTGGACACGTCATCTAAATGGAATCATATAGTATGTGGTCTTTTGTGACCATCCCATTCCTATAATCAACAGATTTTTATGGAATAACTTCTTCATGCCAAACTGGTGCTAGAAATGTATATGGAATTTAATGGCATACATGGAAAACTTAGATTTTTATTTCTACAATTTCTGGTCTATGAATATTTTGGTAAAGCTGTTATAAAAGAGTAAGTATAATATACAAGATGTATGACGGTCAGGGTGTTTGTGGCTGATGTGCAATTTGCGTTGTCCGAGGCCAATCTGCAGGAGGAGCCAGGCTTCCACTGCAGCGTGAGGGGAGAGGAGGAAGGCAGGCATTCACCTGTTCTTCCATCAGCGCTTGTCTTGGAAACAAAAGAGGAAGTAACATCCCTGAGTGCCCTGTCCAAAACTCGTGCCGGTGGTGAGCACCTGCAGGGGACACCTGGATGAAATTAACCACCTCAGACAGAATCTGGCCTGCACTGGAGAGAAGGTGGCCCATCTGTCCTACGAGAGAGGCAAGGAAATATGGGTGGGACCCTCACAGGGGAGCTTTTGAGAAAAGGCCAGCAAGAAAGATGGGGATGAGAGAGGCAACGGACAGCAAATCCCCTCTGCTGTCTCCCAGACCACAGAAAAGAGATGGGTGCTCAAGCCATTCCCCTGTGCTGCTCTACCCACTCATGCCCTCTCGAGACCCAGTGACCGAACACTCAGAGGCCCAGGTGCCCCCAAACTGTGGTGGCAGTCTCTGTGGCTTTGTTGTTTTTTGGCAAAGAGAAACCACACTTATTTCACAGCGATGGAGAAGGGGCAGTGGTGGGGGTGGGTATGGTGGCCAAAGCCCTGGACAGTGGAGGAGGGGATAGGGTCATGTTTTCCAGTAGGAGGCCAACCTTTTTTTTGTCAGGGCTGGAAGAGACTCATGCAGGTGACACTGAAGAGACAGAAGAGGCCTCTGTTTTGGAGGTACTGGAGAATTCAGAGCTATCATCCACCTTCTTCCCAAAAAGCTGCAAGAGGCAGTTTCGAAACTGGCAGGACAGAAAATGTTATTCACCCGAGGGGGAAGGGCCAAGGTGTTAGGCTAAAAGAATGCTTGGGGCATTCTGAGGAAGGTATTCCTTAAGTGTCACCTTGGTGACTTAACACCTTTTCTTCTCCCAGTCAGAATTGTACAGGGTGAATAGAAGAAGGCTCAGGTTATTCCTTACACATGGGGATCGTCTATTCCTGACTATTTGGTCACCTGAGTCATCTAATGTCACAGTTGACGGTGAATACTCTAGGTCAGTTGTGTCCCCCCAGAAGCTATGCTCAAGTCCTAAGCCCTGGAGCCAGTAATTGCAGATGGTATTGAGGTGTGCATTGCCATGAAGTCATGCCAGGGGGGCACCCTTCCCCAGCAACTGCTGTCCTCACACACACAGACACAGAGGGAAGAAGGCCATGTGAAGGTGAAGACAGAGATCAGGGTGACTCATCTACAAGCCAAGGAACACCAAGAATGGCTAGTACCCACCAGAAGCTGGGAGAGAGGCTGGAGCAGATTCTCCCTCCAAGATTCCAGAAGGAACCAGCCCTGCCCACACCTGGATCTCAGCCTTCTGGCCTCCAGAACTAAGAGAGAATAGATTTTTGTTGTTTTAAGCCACCAACTTTGTAGTAGTTTGTTATGGCAGCCCAAGGACACTCAAACTGTGGCCAAAGATGGTGCCAGCCAAAGGGGCCCATGCACAGAGTGACCCATCTCCCAAATCTCTGGGAAAAGACTCAGAGGCACTTTGGGGAAAAGGAATGTGATAGTTATCTTGTTTCTATTCCAATGATTTTGAGACTACACAGGGACTACATAGACAACAGTCCAGCTACCACCTTCTCTCTTCAGCCAAGAGAGACTTCCGGCACTAGAGGGCCATGCCCTTTGCTTCTAGGCCCTTAAAGAGATGGGGACTATATTCATTTCTCAAGTTATACCTCATAGCATGAATGAGCTAACAATAGTGCTTTGAGAATGCAGACCAGAGGCACCTCTTATATATTTTAGGCCTGTTCTTGACTATTTCCAGCTCCTTCGAACATCAAAACTCACAAAAAAAATTGTTGAAATCAGTAACATAAGAAATGGGCTGACAACACTCACTCCAAAGGAAAGATCCACCAGTCAGAAAATAAGTAAGGAGACAGAGGCACTGGATGACACATTAGAACAGACAGACCCAACAGACATCTACAGAACTCTACACCCAAAAGCAGCAGGATACACATTCTTCTCAAGTGCACATGAAACACTTTCAAGAATAGATCTTATACTGGGCCACAAAAAGAGCCTCAGTAAATTCAAAAAGATTCAAATGGTACCAACCAGTTTCTCAGACCACAAAGGTATGAAACTAGAAGTAAATTATGCAAGGAAAATGAAAAAGCCCACAAACACATGGAGGCTTCACAACATGCTCCTAAACCAATGGATCAATGACCAAATAAAAACAGAGATCAAGCAATATATGGAGACAAATGATGACAATAATTCAACACTGCAAAATCTGTGGGACGCAGTGAAGGCCATACTAAGAGGGAAGTATATTGCAATACAGGCCTACCTCAGGAAAGAAGAACAATCCCATATGAACAGTCTAAACTCACAATTAATGAAACTAGAAAAAGAAGAACAAATTAGGCTCACGGTCTGTAGACAGAGGGACGTAATTAAGATCAGAGCAGAAATAAATAAAATCGAGAATAAAACAATACAAAGAATCAATGACAGCAGGAGCTGGTTCTTCGAGAAAATAAACAAAATAGATAAAGCCCTAGCCAGACTTGTCAAGAAAAAAAGAGAGTCTATACACATGAACAGAATCAGAAATGAGAAAGGAAAAACCACTACAGACACCACAGAAATACAAAGAATTATGAGAGAATACTATGAAAAATTATATGCTAACAAATTGGATAAGCTAGAAGAAACAGACAACTTTCTAGAAAAATACAACCTTCCAAGGCTGACCCAGGAAGAAACAGAAAATCTGAAGAGACCAATTACCAGCAAAGAAATTGATTGGTAATCAGAAAACTACCTAAGAACAAAACCTGTGTACCAGATGGCTTCACCACTGAATTTTATCAAACATTTAGTGACGACCTAATACCCATCCTCCTTAAAGTTTTCCAAAAAGTAGAAGAGGAGGGAATACTCCCAAACTCATTCTATGAGGCCAGCATCACTCTAATATAAAAACCAGGCAAAGACACCACCAAAAAGAAAATTACAGGGCAATATCCCTGATGAACATAGATGCAAAAACACTCAATAAAATATTAGCAAACCGAATTCAAAAATACATAAAAAAATCATCCATCATGATCAAGTAG